CTCTTTAACTTGTTTGATTATTATAACCATCTCTTTGACTTGTTTGATTATTATAACCATCTCTTTGACTTGTTTGATTATTATAACCATCTCTTTGACTTGTTTGATTATTATAACCATCTCTTTGACTTGTTTGATTATTATAACCATCTCTTTGACTTGTTTGATTATTATAACCATCTCTTTGACTTGTTTGATTATTATAACCATCTCTTTGACTTGTTTGATTATTATAACCATCTCTTTGACTTGTTTGATTATTATAACCATCTCTTTGACTTGTTTGATTATTATAACCATCTCTTTGACTTGTTTGATTATTATAACCATCTCTTTGACTTGTTTGATTATTATAACCATCTCTTTAACTTGTTTGATGATTATAACCATCTCTTTAACTTGTTTGATTATTATAACCATCTCTTTAACTTGTTTTAATATTATAACCATCTCTTTAACTTGTTTTAATATTATAACCATCTCTTTAACTTGTTTTAATATTATAACCATCTCTTTAACTTGTTTGATGATTATAACCATCTCTTTAACTTGTTTGATGATTATAACCATCCCTTTAACTTGTTTGATGATTATAACCATCCCTTTAACTTGTTTGATGATTATAACCATCCCTTTAACTTGTTTGATGATTATAACCATCCCTTTAACTTGTTTGATGATTATAACCATCCCTTTAACTTGTTTGATGATTATAACCATCTCTTTAATTTGTTTGATGATTATAACCATCTCTTTAACTTGTTTGATGATTATAACCATCTCTTTAACTTGTTTGATGATTATAACCATCTCTTTAACTTGTTTTAACATTATAACAATTTCTTTAACTGTGATTTTCAACCAAACTATGTGCTATAACTTCGTCCCATGAACATCTTTTTTCCGTCAGTGTAACATAATGGAACTTTGTAGACATCTTGGTCGGTTCGTAGAAAAACGTGAGACGACGCCACACACCATTGTTATAAGCAAGGATATTAAGTAACCTTGTACTGAACTGTTTCTTTGGTGTTAACTACTCAATGGGTTATCTGTCTCTGCTCGCTTTTGGCTTATAAGCCTTCACTCAGACATTCCGCTGAACCTTTCCGGTCAAATCATTGCAGCTTCTCCTTACCGCCCGTGGAGACAAGCCATGTAACTATTAGTCACTTTCAAACAGCTGTTAAAACAATTTTATGTAATCCCAGAAATAATAAGGAGATAAATAAGCCCAGAGTGGGGCGAGGAGAAATCCAGATTTTTGAGTACTCCTGGCTTTAAACCAAAATACCTACTTCGATAATGGTGATACCGCTGAAACACTTGGGGGGAGGGGGGACACCTTGCTCTTTCAATACACATAGAAATCCACAATACTCGTAACCCCTAAAACACTATAAACTGTACAAGATATTGTAATCTGTGTACTCTTTGTTTTACGTACCTTGTTGATTCTGTTGATGGCGGGAAGCCCATATCCTGTCGAATGTAAAGAGGTAACAGAAAACCAAAACCCACATGACGTTAACCCTGAAAAAATAAGTTTCATTACTTGAAAATGTATATATATATATTAAACCAGATATCATTGCCTAACAATAATGAGGATATCATCAGCTAACAATAATCTGGATATCATCAGCTAACAAGAATCTGAATATCTCGGCTAACAATAATCTAGATATATCATAACTTAACAATAATATTGATATCATCGGTTAACAATAATCTAGATATATCATAACTTAACAATAATATTGATATCATCGGTTAACAATAATATTGATATAAACTGATAATAATAATCTGGATATCATCAGTTAACAATAATATACATATATCATCAGCTAACAATAATCCGTATATCGTTGGCGAACAATAATCTGGTTATAAACTGCTCACAATAATCTGGATATCGTCGGCTAGCAATAACCTGGATATCAGCGACTAACAATAATTTGGATATGAACTGCTAACAATAACCTGGATATCAGCGACTAACAATAATCTGGATATCGTCGGCTAACAATAACCTGGATATCAGCGACTAACAATAATTTGGATATGAACTGCTAATGATAACCTGGATATCAACGACTAACAATAATCTGGATATCGTCGGCTAACAATAATCTGGATATCGTCGGCTAACAATAATTTGGATATCAGCGACTAACAATAATTTGGATATGAACTGCTAATAACCTGGATATCAGCGACTAACAATAATCTGTATATCATCAGCTAACAATAATCTGGATATCGTCGGCTAACAATAATCTGGATATCATCAGCTAACAATCTGGATATCATCAGCTAACAATAATCTGGATATCGTCGGCTAACAATTTGGATATAAACTGTTAACAATAATCTGGATATCGTCGGCTAACAATAATTTGAATATAAACTGATAACAATAATCTGGATATCGTCGGCTAACAATAATTTGAATATAAACTGATAACAATAATCTGGATATCAACGTCTACGCCAGTTCATACAATTAGTTATTTTAACACATAAAGTTATAGATATATTATAATAAATTATTAATTTTTTTAATTTCTAAAAGACTAAGATATTAAAATATGCATTTTAATTTAATATTATTTTTTGTTATAAATATCTAACCCCCCACTAAAGTTTTATGTAGTTTTCTATCGTTTATTACAAAGAATATAAAACCAATAAGAAAAGAGAGAATTATTAGCACAAACAAAGCACCAATTAATTTTTAGATAACAATCCGCTCACGTTACAAGAAAATCTAAAGTACAGATTTGTCCAACAAAATTTGACCTTCAAAAGAAATGTATAATAACTTGTTGATAATGTGACTTTTACTGTTTTCGATTACTAGACTTCATTATATAAAATATGAAAGAAAAAACGTTGTTTACTTTACCGGGTTATGAGCTTGGCCAGCGTCGTTCACTCCACTCTGTTCAAGAACAGACAAACTGTACACCTGTGGTAACACAACAGAATCGAAGCAGTAAAAGTTCTATTGGCCAAGTCATCCCGTGTTAGTGGCCTACATTTGACGTCTTCTATAGACCAGTTGTAGTAGGGATTTAGGGTGGAAAACCCGGGGCGCTCGAAAATTAAATAACTTCCTTTCGGACCTAATCGACCAATAGTGGCTTTTGTTATTTAAAGGATATCTCTCTCTCTTTTTTAACTTTCTCGTCGGATTAAGGTGGCCATCCTTTAGGTTGTAAGTGTGGCAGTAGTTTGTCCTTAGGGTTCTTGTGTTACTAAAAAAGTCTCGAAGTCTATAGGGTTCTTGTGTTACTAAAAAGTTTATAATTGTTCATTGTTTCTTCGCCCAAGATAATCCCGGAGATTATTCCAAATCGTTTCGGTGTCGCCATGACGAAATACGAGTAATTTCATAACGTTCATGTTTCCATGGTATTCAATAACACGTCGTTACGTTAGCTTCTATTTATTGCTTGCATTTATAACACATTTACATATCGGGTCAAAGACCTTCGTGCAGCAACATTGTTTCTGTACTAAATAAGGACGCAATGCGTTGTTTCACCTTTACTTTGGAATCTACAAAATAAAATAGTTTTATTAACAACCTATGTTGTTTTATACATCCAGGAAATGTAATTAAAAATACAATAATGTTGTGGACGTACGTTGTTTTTCATGCATCATTTAACATTTTCAGAAATCAAAACTGAAAACACAGGCTATAGTTCCGTATTGATATTTTGTTTTCTCTTTTAACACACGTGCATCGCGTCACTCCCCGGTGTTTTAAAATGCTGATTTAAATATCAAGTAGTGAAGAGTTTAAAAAATGAATAAGCAATTGAATAGAAAACCTTTGATAAAAATATGATTTTGTTTATATTAATATTCTTGAATCATATTTATAAAAAATGATACGATGAATATAGATTTCGGTTCTGGTGTAACCTTGCTTAAAACTGTCGAAAGTATATGACATAACTCTCTCTCGAGTTTTATGACAATTTTGTAGTTAAACTCCAAGGTGCTGTCCCTCCCTATATTTTAGTAGGACGAAATACGTTATCAACTGTTTGAATTTATTAAACGTTGTATTTATAATCAAGAAATTCGTGATTTTTTAAAGGTTCGTTGGTCCATTTCTTGTATTTGTTAAGGAAATGGAAAGGTCAATTGTTTCGTAACTTGTTTTTGTAATACTCGAGTTTTGAGTGCGAATGTTTCACGTATTAAATAAACAACCCTGGAGGATTCAACCAATTCCTAGAACTTCCGAAAGGGTTTACTGGTTCCAGCTGACTTGACCTTGAAACGAAAGTCGAGCTCTCAGAAAAAAGAAAATTCAAGTTTCTATTTTAACCAACCAAGTTAATAAGATGTTTCAAATATGAGACACTAATTATCAGATATCTAATCTAGACATTTTTATCGAACTATTAAGTAAATATTAGTCAGAATTCACGCAGCAACCCGTCAGCTGTTGACGTCATCACGCAGTGTTCACTCATCTCTTCGCGTGGTTATGAGAAAGTTGAAAAAGCTTCATCTTTTTGAGTGAAATTTAACAAACTGGCCAATCAGAATAACTTTTCTCTATTAATAAAATGGTTTTAGTTAACGAAGACAAACACAAACAGTACCAGCACCCTCAAATTGAAAAAGTTTTTTTTTTTTGACGGAACGTCAACAAATGGGCCAATCAGAATGGACCTTCCTTTATCACCAAAATGGCTGCAGCTTCAGTGTTTGAAATTACGAAGATGGAATAATTTTGTTGCTGTTCAGTTCGTGGATGAACACTCAGTTTTTATGACAAATTAATTATTTCAAGAACACTTGCACTGTACTGTTGTTCAGTTCGTGGATGAGCACTTAGTTTTTATGACAAATTAATTATTTCAAGAACACTTGCACTGTATTGTTGTTCAGTTCGTGGATGAGCACTCAGTTGTTTATGACAAATTAATTATTTCAAGAACACTTGCAGTGTATTGTTGCTCAGTTCGTGGATGAACACTCAAACATTTATGACAAATTAATTATTTCAAGAACACTTGCACTGTATTGTTGTTCAGTTCGTGGATGAACACTCAAATATTTATGACAAATTAATTATTTCAAGAACACTTGCACTGCATCAAAAATGAGTTTATAAAGCGACTAAAATACTCCTTTTCGTTTTGTTTTTTATCATCAATTTCCATAATTGAAATAAATTCAGTCGGTAAAACAAGTAATCGTTATCAATGTCAGCCATTTTCGTTGATTTCTCGTCTCCAACTTTTCCATACGTTTGTTACCTGTCGCAGTGTGACCTGACCTTACCTCACTTTGAAACATGCATAATATTACTCTCCAGTGACAACTAGTGTAGTGTTAAGTTGTGTAGTGTCAGATAAAATTTCTCAGATGTGAGACGTCACCATCAAAACCTGTTAGCCTATTTTAAGTGAATAAAATATAACACTTCCTACGTGAGACTACCTAAATTAGTAACAAACAAGCCTCCCCCCCCCCCGTTTTGAAATCAAAGAAATTGCGAAAATTGTATCTTTGAGGATAGAAGAATATAGTGAAATTTCATATTAAATTTTTAACAAAGTAATAGAGCAACAACATCTATCAAACATTATAACAAATCTAAATAAACCATTTAACCACTACGAGGGAAGACCCGAAAAGTTCTCGTTTACGTTCAGAATCATCGCGCCTTCCCGTTTTCAAAATCCTGGATCCGCCACTGATAAATTGAATACACGTACAGAACCAAACAGTTCAACATCTTTCAACTTAAGCAGTAAGGAAAAACAAACTAGCTGATTATACAATACTTTTAGACTGAAGCTGGCTCCTGAGGTGGACGGTCTGAATGTTTGACTTAATCTCGTGTGTAAACTGAATAAATTACTTTTTATATACAGATTTTTAGTGGTTGAAGGGGGCGCTACTGCATCACAACACTCATTAGTAGATAGAAGTTTAAACCAAACTCATTAGTAGGTAGAAGTTTAAACCCAACTCATTAGTTGATAGAAGTTTTAAACCAAACTCATTAGTAGATAGAAGTTTAAACCCAACTCATTAGTAGGTAGAAGTTTAAACCCAACTCATTAGTTGATAGAAGTTTAAACCTATCTACTAATGAGTTCTTCAAGTTTAAACCCAACTCATTAGTAGGTACAAGTTTAAACCAAACTCATTAGTAGGTAGAAGTTTAAACCCAACTCATTAGTAGGTAGAAGTTTAAACTAAACTCATTAGTAGGTAGAAGTTTAAACCAAACTCATTAGTAGGTACCTTCTACCTACTAATGAGTTGGGTTTAAACTTTTTAAACTAAACTCATTAGTAGGTAGAAGTTTGGTTTTATCTACTAATGAGTTCAAGTTTAAACCCAACTCATTAGTAGGTAGAAGTTTAAACCAAACTCATTAGTAGATAGAAGTTTAAACCAAGCTCATTAGTAGATAGAAGTTTAAGCCAAACTCATTAGTAGATAGAAGTTTAAACTAAACTCATTAGTAGATAGAAGTTTAAACCAAGCTCATTAGTAGATAGAAGTTTAAACCAAACTCATTAGTAGATAGAAGTTTAAACTAAACTCATTAGTAGATAGAAGTTTAAACCCAACTCATTAGTAGGTACAAGTTTAAACCCAACTCATTAGTAGGTAGAAGTTTAAACCAAACTCATTAGTAGGTACAAGTTTAAACCCAACTCATTAGTAGGTAGAAGT